TCAAAGGAACTGTTCAAAGTTACTTCCTTAAGCTCACAGCATGCTTCACAGTAAAGTCGAATGGACATGAACCAGATGTCTAGCTTGCCCCTTAATGTCTGTCACAGCTACCAGGATGCAACTAATCAAGTTGTCACCATCTTATACTTCTGTAACATAAAGGATTTCTTCTCAAAGGAAAAGAATTAAGTGTGTTTAGATTGGGAGAAGGTGGAGGCCTGCCGATGTGACCCCCACGGCCAATCGATGTGCCTGGAAATGGTTATTAAACCAACGTTGTATGTTGAGTTCTGTAATACTTGTCTTTTCTCCAACTGATGGTTTATGTTCTCTTTGGTTTATGTATCCTGTCTAATGTTGGTTTCAGTATATGGAGATTGACTAGCTCTATTGATTGTGCCTTACTGAGGAAGTTGTTTTTAAGTAATGATAAAAAAACAGGACGATGGATGATGTCCAAAATGTCAACAATTGTCGCAGTTATACACTTCACATGAACTATGGGCAATATTTATAATTCCAGCCCAAAAATGTTGGCATTAGATGTTCACGGAAATGACGAGGGTCAACTAGCATGGAGATCCTCCAATGCCCATTCATGTAGGTTGTAAGGACCGGTAAGGACTGTTACTCTACTCCTTGTGAATATTGCCTCGTCAGTCCACTATAGAAAGGACAACAATCTACATTCATCTAGAGTTTTGTGCAAAAACTGCAGACAGAGCTACAGGTAATTCATTCAGAGGAGGTCCCACGGTATTAATTATAGATCACACAATATTTCAGTGATGAAAACAAAACCCGGCAGCAGTGAACCAGTGTATTCCTGCCTGGTTTGTGCCATTTCCTTCACTCTGTGACTCTTATGTCCTGTGCAATGGAATAAGGCGGGATGATTTCCTTCCACGTTCTTTCCAATTCACTATTCACTAATGAACCTACCAACTGATACTATATAATCTGAGCTACTGATAGAATAATTAAATAAATGAGTAAATAAAATTCCCTGACTGCTCATCTGACTGGTGGTAGTGAAGGAATACATTACTGCGTTTAAGGTACCTATGAGGAGAACTTCTTTATCCATGATGGTACAGAAATAATGAGGATGATGGCTCAAACAGAAGACATTCAGGTGCACATGATGGAGGCCTAGTATTCTTGACATTCATGAAGTTTCACTTTGTTTGAGGTAAAGGAAGGGGGAAAAAAGAGAACACTAAGTATATATTGATGTATGGTCACAAGAATGCAAAACAAAATCATGATATAAGCACAGCTAATAGATGTTTCAAAGTGTGGCAAAGTTCATATATTTGCAAATGACAGTAAAAATCAAAATATGATTCATGAGGAAATTAGGAGCAGAATAAATGTGGGTAACAGAATATTTTTTCTTCTCATCAGCTGTCTAAAAACGTAAAAAAATTAAAATACATAAAACTACAATAGTGCCTGTATCAATGTGAAACTTGGCAACTTTAACGCCGATATTAAAGGAAAAACAGAGAGTGTGATCTTTTGAAAAAATGATGCTGAGTAGAATATTTCGACTGAAGAGGAATGAAATAAAATACGGCTGTAGAAAGCAACATAATGAGGAGCTTCATAACTTGTACTCTTCTCCATGTATAATTAGAGTCATTAGTCAGGAGCGATGTGATAGTTAGGACATGTAGCATGCATGGGAGAAAAGTGGAATGCACACAGGGCTTTGATGGGAAAGCTAGAAGGAAAGGAACCACCAGGAAACCTAGATGTAGATCTCAGAGAAATAGTATCAGGTAGTCTGAACCAGATTCATCTGGCTCAGATTAGGGACCCACTGCGAACTCTTGTGAACATGGTGATGAAACTTCTGGTTCCAAAACATGTTCAGAAGCTCTCGAGTATCTGAGTAATTGGTGACTTCTCAAAAAGGACTCAACTCCATGCAGTTATTTAGTTAGTTTAAAGGATGGGAAAAGCTTCTGGAAAAGTCTGCACTAGATCTGGTTGGTGTCAAATTCAAGATCTATGACACAGAAGTTCAGTGTCTTAAAAATCACTTCTCTTATAGAGAAGAGCATTAACCATAAAAATTAAATGTGGCATAAATTAGATTTATTATTCCTAACAGTTGTATTTGGAACAATTTTGTACCATACAAGCTGTACAATAATGAAACAGTCTTGTAACTGATGGCAAAGGTTCCATAAATTAAAGCTATTTATTATGAATAATAATGTGTTAAGATACAGATGTTATACATTTTTCTCAAATGCAATATGAATATATGTATTATATTTCGTTTACATCATACAGTAACTAAGTGCAGCAAAAGCAAAGTCTGCAGTGATCTTTTTGTATGTCAACCTTTAATTATTACACATATCTTAAGAGCACATGCGTGTAATTGGTATATCTATGCCACCAGTTCAAGAAGCGAACAGTTCTAAAAATATGTGCACCATATAATTCCAAGACCTGGACGGAGATTGATAAAAGTTAAGCATCAGTTATGGTGAACATGGTTGTACATAACTCTAATTCTCATCACTGTTTTGTTTCTTACTTACTCTACAATAAACATCAACATATGGTTTTGTTGAAAATTTTGTTCTACATCGCACTTAAAAGTTGTAAAGAGTTCTGAGTAGTAAGAAAGACTCCATTGGTGCTGCGTCACTCTATAGTAAAACACAGGTTATCTTACCCCAGCTGTAGTTAAACAAAATATATCAAACAAAATCTTCAATAATTAATTTAACTTTCAAAGTATATCAACTTGTGATTCAGTTGCATATTTACTATTACTGATGCATTATTAATACTGGGTGTTCCTAAGGGAATGGTGGGGTTTCAGATACATATATATTTCATATTTCTTAATGTGCACAATCATAACACGTGTCAATCGGAAGCTTAACTGCCCAAATCTTATGTGCATCCGTCGAAGTGCCTCTATGTGCGCACATTTCGTTACCCGGCACTCATCAATGCGATAGTCGAATTCCTGCCATGCCCACTGCAGCATTTCAGGTGTGATGGTCTCCACAGCACGATTGATTCTGTTTCGGAGATCCTGGAGCAATTGGGGCAATGGGGGTACATATACCATGTCCTTCACATACCCCCACAAGAAGAAATCACATGGAGTTATATTCAGGGTGGCAACTGGAGAAGGGGGGCATCTTCACCTGCAACACATCCAATCCATCGTTGCAGAAGGACCAGATTAAGCAAACCTCACATTTTGATGGAAATGTGGGGGAGCACCGTCCTGTTGGAAAATGTAGTCATTGGAATCATTGGCCAGTTATGGAAACAACCAGTTTTCCAGCATGTCTTGGTGGGTGTTACCAGTCACTGTTGCTTCAGTGAAGAAAAAAGGCCCATACACTTTTTGTTGAGAGACAGCACAGAAGACGTTAATTTTCATAGAATCACGCTCGTGCTCAATCTGTACATGTGGATTTTATGTCCCCCGGATACATACTTTGTGTCGGTTAACTATCCCACTCAGATGAAAAGTGGCTTCATCAATGAAAACGAGACATTCCACGAAACCATCGTCTTCCGTCTTCTCTTGAATGTCCTCAGTGAAATGAGTTCTGGCTACCTTGTCTTGTGGTTTCAGAGCTTGCAACAGCTGCAACTTGTATGGTTTCATTAATATCCGCTTACACAGCACCTCCACAACATCGTTGTTGGCATTTGCAATTCTCTGCTTCCTCTACGTATTGGTTTTTTTGGGCTCCTCTGCTACTTCTCCCTCACTCTTTCCACATCTGCATGTGGCACACGTGGCCACCCAGAACTCTTGGCTTTATAGAGACATCCACTGTCCACAAACTGCTGGTACCATCTGTGAATGTTGTTTTCATGTGGCGCGTCCTTCTGAAAACGTACACGAAATTCACAGAGCACTGTAACGATGGATTTAGACACCTCAAATCCCAGCATGCAATAGGCCTTCTCCTGCTGGGTCGCCATCTTACATTTCATGGTGCCTAACTGTTGGAAAAGGAACTAGGAAAGAGCACGATATACAAAATGAAAATTTGAGAGCCGCGTTATGAATTCGTGTACGTTTTGCTTTTCATCACCAAAAACTGATGAGATATACGGCAATGAAATCCCACCATTCTTTTAGGAACATAACATATTATGAATTTTTAAATGTTCATGGTAATAAATCATTGATGGTATAATTTCATTCTGTTCTTCACATTTTTAATTTAAAGTTCTTACAACATTATTTCATTTTACAAATTGTCAAGTTCCCTGCCAATGTGTATGTGGAAGAATATTTATGTATAAATTCTCTAGAAGATTACTCTCTTTTGGGATATGATACCATGTAGCAAGTGGGCTGCTTGCAGTTCCATTTCTTTTCCTTCTTTCTTTGTATCTATACCCTCATTTTCCCATGGAACTATTCTTCTACTCTGAAGTTGGAGGCAGTAGGTTCCTCCAAACAATCAGTATCTTTCTGCCAGGCAGTATGGCAACACAATAACCCACTATTGGTCTTGTTTCCTTCCCTCTCTTCTCTCTTCTTCTCACATGGCTTACTATTCTGCCCAGAAGACAGAGACATCAGGTTCCTTTGAAACATCAGTATCTTTCTACCAGACCATCCTGACATCCCAGAAGACAGTAATCTTCATGTTCGTTAATGTGGGAACCTCAAATCTCATGTAAATATTGTTATTGATCATTAACACCAAGTTCACATACCTCTTATTGCAAGTAATGTTATTTATATTGTGGCTGTGTGCATAAATAACTTTAAAGACATATAAATATCATAACTTTGTAGAAAATAAGGCATAGTGTGAGCAATTTTAGGCCAGCAGAATTTATCTTAATTGCTCTAATAAAGAGAATAATATCTTCACTGAAGAAGAATATATCAGCAGTTACATACAGTAAAATACCGCCATTAAAAATCAAGTGATGTTCTACTTGCCGATCTCAGTTAATTCAGTAACACGAATANTACACGGTGCCAAATCCCATAAGACTGCTTTCTTCATAGTCACCGCCGTGAAAGCGTCAAATCTTACACGAATAGTATCAGTTTCTCATGTTTATTAGTAGTACCTATTATTATCTATTATAAAATATTGCTTTATAAATTTTGTTTGCTAACTCTTATCTTACAAGATTTGATCAGTCACAACACAAACAACTTAAGCAGGCAGGTGACAGTGTAAATTACTGTATTGACTGATAAGAACAACTTATTTTTCCATAAAATAAAGCTGACAATATTCAACTCTTTTAAGGTAAATAAACACATTCAGAACAGTCTAATCTGCTGGAAACTCATCACATACTACTTCTAGGGTGAAAGATTATCTCAATAAATATCACTGCACTTTCAGAACTATACCCTAAAAGCTAAGAGTCCATCTCCTTTCTGACACTCAAGATGATGCCACACATCCTCAAGACATCAGTTATTCAGAGATGAATCTATGAACAAAACTTTGAGACTGTGACAGAGAGCCTCTCCAAGTTGATGATCAGGTAAAGAAACATAGTTTAGAAAATGAAAATATGACCACAGAATATATCTGAATAGTACAAGAATTTCAAATGTTAATGAGAAACTCAGAAGGCGATGAAAGCCAAGGAACTGAAAATTATTGTTACATAAGTTCATGCTGTATTGTACTGCTATAAAATCCAAATTGTCAATGTTATTTTCCCACACAATAAAACTAATTTTCTTCATATTGTCCCTGTTATATTTCAGTGATATATTTTCTAGAAGACACTTTAAAATGGAATAGTAACATAAAGATGAGAAAATATTAGTGTCTGAATAGTGAAGATCTGTCATGCTTTTGGAGAGTGCAGATGTGAGCAATGCCGAATAACAGGAAATACAGCAGAATTTAACATAGAAGTCTTCTATCAGGTACTTGATTTTGGAATGGCCGATGTTTACTTTTGTAAAAACGTTTAAGTTTATGAATAAAATTTCAGCTATAAATTGACACATGACTAAAATTTTATGATAAAAAAGCAAAATAATACAAAGTGTGATGTTGTACGTATTGTAGTCAGGTGTTTAGGACTAAACATTTTATCAGAGAAATCTTGAACTGGGTATATTAGTGTGCAATGTCAGATAGGCATTAAATAGATTATTATTTCAACATATTTTAGCTCACCCTAGTTGCCATAGCCATTAGGGCATGAAGTTTGTGGTCTCAGCCGTCTTGGTCACTAACAAATACCCTGCCTGAGAGATGGATATTTCATGCAATTTTCATCAACACTAAGCTTTCTCACCCTTCTAACTGCTCCACCAAGAATCATCCACCAGTTCAGGCAAACATATTTCAGGTCAACTTAACTATCTGACATAATTCCCACAGCTGTGATGTAATCTGTTTATATTCAATAACATTCTGAGAAAAATACATTTTAAAAATTTCTATGCTTTATAGTATGTTGTCTTTTTTTGGAACTCAAAAAATAATTCCTTACAGTATGGTCAAGATGGTCAAGATTTCTCAATGTGTCTTTTTTTTTTGTGCAAATTAGTACTCCCATTGCTGACATTTCCAACCTGAAAATATGAATTTCACTGTATTAAATTATTTCAGTATTTTATGACTACTGCTTTTGAGCAAAACAAAAATGTTATAAGACAAGAGAATACTTCTTGCAATACATAACATCTGTAGAGAAGTGTCCATTCTATTTAATCAGGTGCCTGATGTTCTTGTAATTCAAACTCTGCAAATTAGATGTTTTTCCTTTTAATGACACTAAAACAGTATTTTACTGTAATTATCCTTCCTTCCAACTTATTCAGGCAACATCTATTCTATATGTCTTACTCTGTGCTTGTTGGTCTTCATTTTATTTCACTGTGTTAACCTTCTAACAGTCAGGCTGCAGATCTCTACATACAGGTATAGTGAGCATGTCCATATTACTACAGACCAAGCATCACACAATTAAAATATTCCCTACATCTCTCATACAGTACATGTTCAAATTATCAGTTCAGAGATTACTGTCATCTGGGATATAATGCTGTGTAGCCCGTTCAAAGTCAACTGACATTTCGGAGAAATATGTCACCTCCATTTTCAGCGTCGAAGAATAAACTGAGTAAGAAATCAGCCCTTCACTTCTGAAGATGAAAGCGATATGTTCCACCAAAATGTCTCTTGACTTCCAACAGACTACATAATGTTATATCCCAGAAGACAATACTCTTCATAACCACCACTGTGAGAACCTCAAATACTGCATACCAGTTCAGTATAGTGCTAATTACCCCCACTACTTTTACCACACAAAATATGATGTGCAGATAACATTTTTGGACTTCCTACAGCAGACATGTGAGAAAGGCCATTCAAAAATGCAAATTGTGATGTGAACTTGAAAGGGAAATCTATTTAGTAAGAAACATGACTGTTAAAAAGATAACAGATTTATTTCCCTCTCTCCATATGACCATACTGACCACTTAAAACTGAATGGCTGTATTTCCATTGTATTTATTACTTGCATATAAAAGTAGATATTTCAGTCAATACAACTTTTAATCTAAAATAGTAATTAAAAAATTATGTGCTCAGCAATTCTGATTTGCCATCATCAGGCCTTTATACTGTAATGAGTTAGTGACCAGTCATAGGGTTTGGATTGATAATTGGATTTAGTGAATGCTTATAACTTGCAACTACAAGTAATTAACTTTTTCCTTTGGTCCTCTATCATTGCATTAGTAACTGTTGCTGTGAAAACTCATTTGACATGCCGCTGCCTAGCAATGACCACCTCTACTCATTCCATTATTCTGGCTTCCAGCCATCATATCACAATATTTTAAATGTGGACAGAAACCTTTATAGGTTTTTTTTCTAGCAAACATAGGATACATACATTTAAAAGACAGTAATAGGTATGATATATTGGTAGTTACTCATATTATCTGTGAAGGGTCTTACTCCATGTGTAATTAATTTATTTTTACTTGTAACATACTTACATTAGCTAAAACTTTCATATTAATACTTAATGTTATTGCTGGAAACGCCTTCCAGGAGATTTTTCATCAAAATCCTAGCACCTGCCACAATATTTATACTTTTAACAGTTACACATATATTATACTTGTTGTCTTTTATATGTATGTAGCAGGTAGACACATTACTGGCTAATGATCTCGAAACAAACAACAAAACATCCATTGGTAACAAAGAGATTCTTAATAAGCAAGTATACTCCGCCATTGCTAGGTAGCACCTTTGCAAAACAGGCACATTCCCATGGAAACAACTTGGGTATGACAATGGACGGTGATATATATAAGATGCAGCTGAAGTTGTCAACTATTTTTATGCTTATTTTATATTATGTGACTAATCTATTGTTTTTGATTGTTTTAATAAGTGAATTTTGTATGATAATTTTATCTTTATATGCATTTTAATTTGATGCACTTGATTAATGGAATGAGTAATGAATGAACGTCTTAATGGAAATTTTATTTTAGTCCATGATAAATCTTGATAAATTTCTTGATCATTGTTTAATGTGTATTATAAGTATTATAAGTTTTTACCTTATTTAATTGCAATATTACTGTATTATTGTATAGATACTATGTATTATAACTTGACTTGTTCCATATCCTATGGTGTCTCACCTGTACTGGATTTACGGAATGTAAATAAATTCAATTCAATTCAATTCAATACATGCCAAGATGTTATAACTGAGACAGGTTTAGAAATTAGTCAGCTGTAACAAAGTAAGTCAGTTATAAGGGAACCTGCGAGAAGACTTGGTTGGTGCAGTTGAAGAATCCCCACTGTTAGAAGCCATTACCAGGGAACAACTAGTGGAGACTACAGTAGACTGAAGATTTAGCGTGTGTTGTAGTGATTTGTGAAGTAAGTAAATCAGCAATGGAGCTATAATTAAGTGTAGTCACAAGTCATGTGTTAAAGTGGTCAGTAAATCCAATCTCTAATCAAAAACCTGCTGAGAATCACACTGTAACACGTGAAAATATATTTACAAAAGGACACCTATAATGCTTCTTTTCCACATTTTAAATATAAAGATCTGAAGATGGTGAATCAAAATTGCCAGAATATCTAACCTCTTAATTATGTTTTATTATTTTACAATAGAAGTTCTATTTGACTGACATCTGTACTTTTATACACATATTTGCCATATTATATACACCTGTTCTCTTTCTTCATAAATTTGTAACTGTCTTTATATCTGTCTTTGTATCTAAAATACACACTTACCCTTTCCTCAATGTTATGTTTCTCAAGGAATATAAATATAACAGCAATAATTCACAGCAACTCTTCCTGTTGCCTACTTCTGTAATGGCAGGATCTCATCCTAGGCACTTTATGGGCAATGGGATCCTGAGCTATGTTGAGTTCTGTTTGTAGAACTTGTACAGATGGATTGGTATCCGGTCCCACCCACGCTTCTCCAGCATACTGTCCAGGTCATGAATTACTGCATCTAAAATCCTGTGTAGTTTCTCAGAGAATGGGTCCCTGCAATATTCAAACAGGATTACCTTAGACAGATTCACAACCAGTCACTACCTACCACTGACTAGTTATAGGCCAGATGGCTAGATTTCAGTTTCTGGCAAGGGAGGGATCTTTCTCAGGTTCATTGAATATTAGAGGCTCGTTCTCCAGAGGTAAAGCAGCCCAATGAAGCTGACAACTGCCACTTCTATTTAGTGATGAATTAAGAATTCATGTGTGCGCCCTACTGTGTACTGTATACACCATCAAATAATGCTTTAACATACACAACTTTGTCTTAGAAATTCCTAGACCTAAAATGTTTTTATGTAAAAAAATACTATCTCTGTAAATAGCAGTGGAGGCCCACAGGTTTATGAGAGGTCAAGGCTCCCACATTTTCTAGATAATCAGCTCACAGATGGTGGTGAGTTTGTCATCTGCACATGCCAACCACCCTTTAACTCCAGGAAGATACCTGGTACTCATTTTTGTTAGAGGCTGAGTCGACCTCAGGGCCATACTGTGGTTGGAAGGATTAGGTAAATTGAAAAATCCATGTCATAATCAGGAAGGAATCCACAACTTTCTGACTTGTAGCATAGTACCTCAACCC